GTGCCCTTGACCCACTGTGCCCCAGAGCCTCAGTGATCTCTATTCTCCTAAAGAAGGAGGTTCTTGGGATATTTTACCCTTTGGGATATAACAGCCAGGCACCCACGTTTAAAAACTTTGATTGAAGGCCAATCATTAACACCTTGGTAGCTTGTAACATGTGGCTTTCTCAAGACCTTGCAGCTATTCATTGGCAGAGATACAACTGTGCCCACATTCCCTGGGGCTGATCCCTTACAGGGACACCTGGATATCCATTCTTGCTGTGTCTTCTCTGAGTCAGATTAGGAGTTGGCATCACTGCATGCACTCAGTCCCTCTTCATCCAGTATTACCTGTTCCCTTTGACACCCCTCACTTTCTGTTGCTGCTTCCCTGGGCTGAGCTGCTTCCTGGCATTCACAGTGGGAAGTTGAATATGATGTCTCACGCTGCTAGTTTGCAGGGAAAGGAGACCGATCAGGCAGCCAGTGAACAAAGACCATCTCACATTGTGACTGCTGTCAGAATGCCTTTGCATGCATGGCACTGATGGCATCATTGGAGACAGACCTGGCAGTTTCCTGAATTTAATACTTGCAGATAAGTGCAAGTCTGTGATTTAACAGAGCGATGCTTGCCTTTAGCCAGAACTAGACATGCAGGGAAGGGAGCTGAAAATCTGTAGTAACTACAGTTAAACACTCACATGGATGACAGAGCTGGATCCTGTGCACTGACTTTTAGCTGCGCTGAAAACAATTAGTGTTTTGTGAGTAGTGGGGGGGGGGTCTGCTGCAGATCAAGGTGCAGGGAACCCTTTAGAGTGAGCTGATAAGGTCTGAAAGGGTCTCTTTGAGCTTTCTGGAATGAGCTGCCTCCTTAGCTCCAGTCTTCAACAAATAAAATCAAATCATTAACCCATGCTCACTCACCTCTCCAAAGGGGAAATGGTGTCTGGGTGAAACACAATATGAGCAGGCTCCTGAAGGAAGTCATAAACTCAGGTCTACACTTCCCCACGAAGGCGGGAGAGAAAGCACGTCTGTTTGCCAGGTGTAGATGGATCACTACAGCACAACACTGGCAGAGGATTGCCTGTGTTTCCCAGTCCTCCTTAGAAGCTGAGATGAACCCACTGTTGATAAAGGCTTCATTGATTTACATAAGAGAAAAGAAACCTCTTTATATATTTGCTGTAGTGTAGGTGGGTGTGTCTAAGTGGTGACATGAAAAAGCAGGAGACACCGGATAGATGATGCCTGGATGCAGACAGGCTATGTGCTCAGCTGGAGCTACTAGAGAAGGTTCAGTGACCGCCCAAAAAGGGGCAAATTTGGGTGGCTGTTGAGCAGCTCCAGATTTGTGAACACAGATGCCGACCTGGTGGGGATAGGGCAGGGTATGGTTGGGTCAGGTTCCTCGTTCCTCATTCCCTTTCTGTTTCAAAGCAGAGAAGAAGAAAGGGAGATCAGCCACTTTCTACCCTCTAGACAACACCCCTTTCCTGCTTCCTGTGGATGAGACACAACCGCCGGAGCTCACCAGCAACATGGAGCCCGTGGGCGTTAGCACAGAGATGGCACTGCTCAGCAACATCCTGGCAGCCTATGCCTTCATCACAGGTAGGTCTTGTGGCTACCATCTCTCTGGGCTCTCACAAGCTCTTTGTAGACCTTCAATTTCTCAGTCACCTGGGGCTAAATATTCCTCTTTGAACTGTTTATATATTTCATTTGTCTCTCAGCAAATTCTCCCTTGGAAGACCTGACTAGGGCAGCTCTAGCAGACAGTATATAACAGAGTTTATTCTGCTCTGCTTTCCACTGGATTTGCTCTCATCTGGAGTTAAATACAATGTAATCTTACATGTGGTATTACTCCTAATGCTGCATTTTCCTGGAGATCAAAGCCTGGCTCATTAGGGAGGCAAACTTGTTGTCCTGTAATTTGGAAAATAAGCAGCACCCAGATCATTACACTGCTTAAGAAAATTTGAATTATCTTCAGTAGAAGTGTCAAGATGAAGTAACTTGAGAGTCTACTTAATTGTATATTTAAATCTAGTTTAGAGTAAGATTTCCTTGGATCAGTTTATCTTTCGCCCACATTTATCTTTCAAGAAGCAGGAGAGCAGTCCTCTAAAAAGATTCACTTTAAAAGGTGAAAGAAAAGTGACAGAACCAGGGGGAATGCCTTAAAAGCGATAGAAGATGGGTTTAGATTAGATATTAGGAAGAAATTATTTACTGTGAGGATGTTAAGACACTGGCACAGGTTGCCCAGAGAGGTTGTGGCTGTCCCATCCTTGGAAGTGTTCCAGGACAGGTTGGATGGAGCTTTGAGCAACCAGGTCTAGTGGAAGATGTCCCTGCCCATGGCAGGGAGGTTAGAGCTATGGGATCTTTAATATCCATTGCAACCCAAACCATTCTGTGATTCTGTGATTCTGGCTGAATAACATCAGATGCACTAATTCATCATTTTCAAGCGAATTTCTGTTCTTGATTTTCCAGAAGTAGGGCCCTGGTTGCTGTGTAACTAGCCTCCCAAGGCTATGTAAGAATGTACTGCTTGTGGTCCCTTTTTTCTTATGGGTATTCTCCATCTGTTTAATGAAAGGCTTGTGTCCTTATTGCTTTGCAATGCTTATTGCCAAGCAATATCACCTTGCTAGTAATAGAAATGCATTGCTATTTCACTACATGCTGTTGATAATTCTGTGTACTGCAGCCAGTCTACTAGCACCACTGTAATGCAATTATGCTATTCTGGAGCACAGGGCTCTACATTAATTTAAATCCAATCTTTGTGAGCTGGTTGTCCATGTCTCTGTGCCATTCAGTCTTGCTCATTCATTAAATAACTAGTGCATTCTTGCTGAGATGCCATCATGCTGCTACAGAGAAGTGTTGGGACTTGAAACAGCTAACTTGAGCTTTGCATTTTGGAATCACTGTTTAGTGAAGGATCCTGCTGAAAGGACCATGAATGAATGGTGAATCTGTTCTGCCCTTCTACACACCCAGTGATGGCATCAGGATCAATCTTTTCATGACACCTTTAAAAATCAGGCAAATTGAGTGCAATTAGTAGTGTTCTTCACAAAAGATAGCTGAGTAGGATAATTTTTTTCCTTGCACTGGTTTCTGTGAGGAAAAATTATAAAAACAAGCTTTAAGGGAGATTTCTGTCTATCACACTTCTCCCCCCTTTACCTACAGCTGCCATTTTTTGACATGAAAATACCTGAATTCCCAAGCTTACTATAAAACAAAATGCTGTTAATGTTATGTTCCCCATGTGAACAGTAATGGGAAGTAGAAAGTTGTAGGATTTGTGGGACAGTTGGGACTACGATTCAGGACTGCTGACGATGCCCCACAGACTTTGCTTCCATTGACCACAGCAGAACTTTGACTCTGCATTGGTTTTTAGGGTACAGAGCCTCAATTCATCCCCTTCACAAGGTGTCAGTCTTGGCAGGAGTCTCTAGATTTTACTGTAGCACAAATAACTTTAATTGTCTGGTTGTGGTGGGATTTGCTTGTCCTCTCATGTGTTCTCGCTGTGTTGTGTTCACATCCACTGGATGTCAAATAGGGAAACTCAGACCTCATAACTTTGGGTTCCAGTGCTGAGCTCAGGACCTGGTTGCTCATGTTTCCCAGTGCACCATAGAATCATAGGATGGTTTGGATTGGAATGGGTCTTAAAAATCATCTAGTTCCAGTGTACTTCACCATGGCTGTTAGATGGGTTTTAGTCTTACTAGTATATATGTTCAGTTTGTCATCTGTTACAAAAGTAATTGCTGACTGCCCTATGGATTGAAGCAGCAGATATCCTAAACCATCTTTATCTGCTGCAAGTAATTTAGGCCTCTGCTTTTAGCAGTAAGGATGGATTTGGCATGATTTATTTTGTTCCATGTGAATATGGTGAGGTTTTAGCTTATGTGTTCAAAGACAAACTGCCACAGGGCACAAATATCATTTGCATAAAACTAGAGCACTGCAAAACCATCCCCTTTCATACTGCAGATTTTGAGCCGCAGAAGAGTTGGATTTTTTTGTGCTTACCTGAGTTTGGTGCCCTGAAGGTGGCTCAAGCCACAGTGGCTGTTGTTGTCCATAGAAGATCCATTATAGTGGCTCAGGAGAGGCAGAGTATTGGGCAGACAGGGAGGGCTGATTCTGATTCACATATCTTCCTACTACTCCTGACCACGGCCTCGGTGCCAAAGAGACATTAGTGCAAGAACTGCTCTGTTTCACGACACTGAAAAATCCCTTAAGTACTTTTTGCAGACTGAAAGTGCTGTATTCAGGTATTCTCTGATGAGCTGACTCAAAACAGAAGTTTGCAAAAGAAAATTTTAAACAGGCAAGGGGAACATATAAAAATGTTTTTTTTTTCTCTTGGGACAAAGGGTGATGGATAACCTCAGACCTGCTGCAGGAAAAAGAAGCTATGGGCTTTTGCTACTTCATGGATAAAGTGCATGCTTGAAAGGACAATCCACTCAGCTACTTTTCCTGTCTTCTGGCAGTAGGGTGTCTCAGCCTAGGGAGAGCATCCACAAATAGTGGGATCCCTTCTGTGCTCAGTGACTCTCATGTTTTCACAAAATGGCAGTTTTGGGTGAGCAGCTGCAGATGAAGTTTCTGCACGCTCAGTCACTCACACGTGCAGGACACAGAGGGGAGAAGTGCCAGTATTAGCTAAAGCCTCTGTGCTCATTTCCATATTCTATTGACTGATGTTCCTGTATAAAAGTTGGGAACGTTCCTATGGACAGCTGAGTAGTAAAAATCACAGCACAGCAGGAAGCAAAACCTCTCTGCAGGAGTCTTAATTTGCAGGTATCATCATGGTTATGTATCAAAGCCAGTTAGGTGTTAGTTTTATTCCAGCTTCCAGAACCTATTTTATTGGAAACAAGGAGAAAGTGTGAATAATGTCAATTAAGAGTGAATTTGCTAGCTGGTCAAACAGATAAATATTATTTAGAGTTCAGTCTTGTAAAAGACTCAGGGATACCCTTAATTTGAAAGTTGATTTTCTTTATAGAATTAGGTTTTTAATTAATGCAATCTCCTCCTACAAACATCAGACCTGTTATTTTTTGTGAACCTGTACCAAAACCTGCCTGAGCATTTGGGAAGAATTTATCAATCTCAATGACAACTGGAACTGTCTCTGCAGTCACAGTCTGTCAGCAAGATCAGAACTGTCTCTCATGCTAATATAAATATTAAACATTTAAATTGGATCAGAGCACTTCCAGTGCCTCCTTTTGGACAAGGGACTTATTCCAGTTTTGTCATTGCATTTGGGCTGAAGCAGTTGGAGGGAAACCTCCAAAAATCCCTGTTTTATTCTTCTTTCACAAGTTAAGTTTTGCTGCCAAGTTATTAACAAGAGGCTTCCAAAATGCAGACTGGGGGAGATCTCTCCGACTTTGAGACTGTTTGGCCTGAACCTTATTAATAAGGGGCTCCTGGAAAGCTTCCTCTGTTCTACCAGGGGATTTCAGCAGCCTGTGGGGCTAACTGTAAATTCCCTAGAAGATATCACTCCTACTGTTTGTCTGGCCATGCTTAATGATGAATCTTTTACTGGGGTCCCTCTGAAATTTTCCTCCCCACTGAGGTTTCAGAGTGCATGAAGCCATCACAGGAAGCCAACCGCGTTAATGCCTAGATTGTTTTTTATTTATTGAAACAATTTATTATAATAGCAATAACAACCTTGGCCTGGGGCATTTCCTGGGGAATTAATGGCAGTCTGGGCTGATGCTCCCAGCAGATTGTTAGCCCTCAGGAAACAGGGTCCGTAATTGCTGCTGGTTTGGTTGGAAAAATAAAATGTGTTTCTAATTTTTGGACAGTTTGAGTGCCTAGAAAATGGTGGCTTTTGTATAGAGGCTTATATAGAGCATATATTTTTTGTCTGCATGGATTAAATTCAGGCTTGGATCAGTGACATTTTCATTGATGCTTTCAATCCAGAAAGAGAAATACAAGGAAAGGGAAAGATAAAACCAGCTAAAGGGATTGGCAGCAACTGAGTCCTGCTAGAAGCTCTGAGCTGTCATCCGCAGCAGTGGAAGAAAAGCTACGCTGGTCAAAATCTGTGTTAATGAGCATACACACACACACACACACACATGAATGTGTATCAAAATTTTTTTAACTCCTGCTACTGATGTCCATACACATTTTAAAAACTTTTTTACAAGTATAATGAGTGTTTTGAGGAGCTTAAGTGTTGGTATGATGAATCTGAGCCATCGTGGAGCTTTTGGAAGATGCTGAAGGTCCATTTGCTGAAGAGTGTGCCCCTTTTTGGTCTTTTCAAGTAGAACATGCAATGTTGACTGTCAAACCCTCAAATCTAGGCTACTGCTGACGTGGCTGCTTCAACTGAGAAAAAGCAGAGCCCATGGATTTTAGTTTAAGTTGCTCTTTCTGCTGTGAAAAAAAGAGATGCTGCTGTGCAAGTGGGTTGTACGTATGATAAATGCTAAGACTGCAGTTGAACATAGGGTTACAGCTCTGTGAAGAAGTCCAGACAGTGTCTCAGATGTTGACAGAGTAGCTGTAGGAGCTCATAAATGCCACTGGAGTCCAAAGATTCAATTACAGCCATTGAACTGCATGAAGGGCTGTATGTGCAAGCACAAGCAGGGGATGAAAAATGATTGCTTAAGTAGCAATCGAGGTGCAGATTGCTCATGAGCTGGGTACAGTAGCATGGAAAAGGGAATGTGGAAGAGAAAGGAAAAGCAGGACAAGGGCAAAAACAGAGGCAGAGAAACCACATGTTTGTGTCTCAGGCTCCAATCTATGTTTTTTTTTATGAGTTGCTTTAAAAGAGCAAGCAGTGGAACTAATGCAACCAAATCAAGGCCATGTGTGTGCAGAACATGGTGCTCGGGATAGTGTGCCTGGCATCCATTCAGCCAGGAAGAGCCAAGGCACACTGGATCCAGTACCTTCCAGTACAAACACAGCAGCCCTGCTCATTTCTTCTCCTCACACTCCCATGCTCTGAGTGTCCCTAGAGCCCATCTTAGGGCTACTTGTAAGGGGAGCTTTCAGATTATTGTCCTCAATTATATTGCACATGGAGACAAGAGTGTTACCAGGTAGTGATTCTGCTTTTCCTGCTTTTCCTGGGGTATTCATATCTCTGAAATTGCTGTTCCAAAAGGACCAGATGGACAGCAGCAGCAGTTTTGCTGCTGCACAAAAGAGAGTGCAGTTTTAATTTGAGTCCTGTCCCTTGAGTTCAGAATAGCCATTACCTACACTAGAGTCAGGATTTCATTCAGCCAGGCTGCTGCAGGGGCCATTGGCACGTTCTTCATGCCTGCTCTGGTATTTTTTTCTTTTACCTTTGGATTTTTGCTGTCTTGCATCTGTCAAAATATCTTAGTTTAAGCCCTTGGCTTTGGTCTCACATGACTTTCCAACTACTGCTGCATTTCTTAGAATGGTTTGGTTGGAAGGATTTTTAGAGTCATCTAGTTCCAGCCCCCCTACCTTGGGCCCACTGGCACATTCAGTTTAGTGTCCTGCTTGTTCTTCATGTCACAACAGAGTTTGTGGGAGGCTGGTCCACCTCTTTCTCTTTTTGGATGTGTCCAATGTGTCTGCTGCACTTTCCTTCTTTTTTTTTTTCTTTCTCCAACCTGTTTTTTTTCCCCATGTCATCACACCAACCATTCTTGCACCAGTCTAATGTTTTATTAGCCAATTTTCAGAGTATCTTTACAACTTCCTCCACCTTGGCTTGTCAGTCACCTTTGAGATTTGTTTGGGAGAGAAGTGAAGAGCACAAAGGTGTTTCAAATCTCCAGTTACTCTATGAGTATCTTCAGGCACTGAACTATGTCCTGTCTTGAGCAATGCACAAGCCAGTGTTTGGGCTCTGACCACAGAATCGGTGAATAATTTAGCTTGGAAGAGGCCCCTGGGGGTCACCCAGTTCAACCCCCTGCTCAGAACATGGCTAACTTCAAATTTACAGCCAGCTTTGAAATTAGAGCACGTTCTTGTCCTGTTGAGTTTTGAACATCTCCAGATAGTTTCCAGTTTACCTTCTGCAAACTTTGCTTTAAGGAGACCAGCTGGAGAGGGCAGCTTCTAAAAACACAGTGGGAGGAAGTGAAGGTAGAGCATAGCCTTTTAGATCCAGAGATCTTTCAGGGCCGAACGTCAGGCTCTCAGCTGGTGGGAGCTGTTACAGCTTCATCACTGAGTTCAGGAGAATAAGACACATTTGAGGAACTGACTCCATCTTTGAACCCAGGATTCCCAGCAGACAGGGCAGAGTAGAGCTGGCCTTGACACTTCTGCTTGGTTCACTTTTACCCATTTAGTTTATACCAAGGTGATTCAGCCCAGGGGAATTGCAGTAACAACATTTATCATAATTATGCTTCTAAGTAGTCTCATGAACCAAAAAAAAAAAAAAGTTGGTAAATAAACAAGACGACCTAATTTAAAAGGCATTGTGGATCCTTTGGAGTCTTGTTATATCACCTCAGAAATGTGGCTATGCAGGATTCATCCTGTTAGTGTACTGACTCCAGCTATGCCTATGAAGCACAGGTATACATTTTGGTGGTCTGGGCAGGAAGCCAGCACACTTGCCTTAGATAAGCAAATGAAACCTATGAATAAATAATATGCATTTTTTCCTTGCTGCCAAGCTTCCCATTTCAGCTGGGCTACAGCACAGAGAGCATACAGTTTTATAACCATCTTTAGGCCTGGCAGGAAGATAGTGGATGTGACAACAAGATGCACTTCCTGCTGCTGAGTATGCAGCACCTTGGTGTCAGCCCTGTGGGAATTTAATTTTGTGGGCTGCTCCTTTCCCTTCGAGACAACTCAAAGACACAGCTGCAGCAAACCCACATTCTGCATGTGAGCAAATGCCTTGGCAGCAAATTCACCATTTAAATTCCCCTCCCTGATTTCCCTGGGGGGAGGAGGCAAAGGAGGGCATGGAACTAAAAGCAGCCATTGGAAACTGCCACTCCAGAGACCGTGTCAGGTGTGTGCATGGAGGGGCTGTGTTTGTTCTTTTAAGGGTTGATCTTGACCATCATTTCCTTTGTCCTTCCAGAAAACCCTGAGCGGGCTGCCCTGTATTTTGTCTCCGGAGTGTGCATTGGACTTGTGTTGACCCTTCTGGCCCTGGTGCTAAGGGTGTCCTGCCGAACGGACTGCAGACGCTCCTCCTCCAAAAAACCCCCTCGGGAGCGGGAAAGCGACAGCGACAGCAGCGACAGCGATGATGATTCGGACACCACTTCAGACCTGTCTGCCCGCAGGCACCGCAGGTTCGAGAGGACTTTGAACATGAATGTCTTCACTTCAGCGGAGGAGCTGGAGCGAGCGCAGCGGCTGGAGGAGCGGGAGCGCATCATCCGGGAGATCTGGATGAACGGCCAGCCAGACATCCCAGGGACCAGGAGCCTCAACCGCTACTACTAAGTGACGGGGAGTCCAACCGTCCTGCCCTGCACCTTGGGGCTGCTCCACACATGACAGAGGAGAGGGAGGAAAGAAATTTAAAGTGGGTGTCTCCCCTTTTCCTATCAGGCATGCTACCTGGAGCGGTGTGGATGGACAGCAATAAAGCTTTCCCCATCTCCTTCTCCCTGACATATTGTTATCACCCCTCTTCACAGACACTTTCTGGTTTCAACAGAGGTGGTTGCCAACTTCATTTCCTAGTAGCGGGCAGGAAAGTGACAATTACAGTGCTCCTCTCTTGGCTGGGGAGAGAAGTTATCCAGGATTTGGTCTTCATTTGGGATTTTTTGGTTTCCCTTTCCTGAGGACTGTGGGAGAATTGTGAACAAAATGACAAATTTGGAAAGATGATTTAGGGAGGGAGGGGGAGGTGCATCTTGGCCGATTGTCTTGTGACTTCAGAAGCCATGAGATTAACCTAATTAAAACCCAACAGCAAATATGACTTGTTAAGAACTGGGGGATGGGGGGGAGGGGGATTCTTCCATCGTGAAATCATCTCGGTGCTTGGATGTTCGCCATAGTGTATTCAGTTATTTATGGTTGTCTTTTCATCTTCCTTTTCAATGGGAACATTTAGTTTTTTTACTGACACCTCAGGGATAAAATCCTATTATTTTTATGAGTCTGTTCTCCCTGCTGGCCCCTGTCAAACACAACCCAGCCCACCTCCAACAGTGAAATTAGGGTAATATAAGAGATGTGTCAGTGACTGGTGAGAAGTTAACAACCTCAAAGAGGTTGAAAAAGGTCTTCTTTTTGTGTTGTTCTAAATATATATATATA